TATATACGCATATACAGTAGATATATATCTATATATTTTTTAATATATATGAGTGTTTTTTTTATGAGGGGGGTGAACACCACTGTTTACTGAGATTAATGTCTTTTTATTGTCTATTATGCATACAATTTTTCCTTTGTGTTTATTTTCTTCAGGTTCTTCTGGGTCACAAGCAGCACCCAATCATGCACTGTCTTTAATATCCAATTTCTTTCGCACGAAAACAGTACACATTTAAATTGTTAGTTGTATTCACATACGAGAAAAATTTTTGCATTCGTCCCTTCGGAATTTTTCGTTTGGGAGGTCTGATTCGGATGTCTAAAGTTGTATACATACTGTGCAAAGATCGAACGATCTGTCTGTATATGGAAATGTTTGTTTGATTTTCTGATAGTGTGTATCCCTCATATGACACAGTGCCACAGCTGTTATCATTCAGAATATTTAGCAGGAGATATGAAATATTGCATATACATATAATATGTAGTCTTTTATCTGGCCAGCTGGTGAAGTGCCTTTGGGCCTTTTTCTTGTTTCCTCTTTCTCCTTGCCACCAGGTCCATGGCACAATTTGTAGCAGAGATTTGTAGCAACTACAAATCTTTGCTTTTTCTGGCAATTTGTAACTAGCTGCGCATTTAAGCTGGCCATAGACGGATTGAAATTCAGCCGACTCAGCTGGATGGATTTTGATCAGTGTGTGGGCTGTACCTGCTTGACAGAAGTCAATTTTGATCAACATCTGTCAGCTACTAATCAGTGTATTCTGACAGTTGCAGGTGCCGCTGTCAAAATAAAAAAAAACACAATATCCTGGCAGGGGTGGGATTCCACCAACCACTTTGCTTGTATGGATGGAAGAATCTGTTAGCTGTTAAAAAAAAAAAAAAATCATTTGTGGCCAGTTTAAGGGTAAGTTTACATACACACTGTGAATTGCTTTTCAAAGGCCAGTTAAGCAATCTTGCCACCTCCTGAACACTTTTTTTTTTTAATGCGTCAAATTGCTAGCCAAGAATTTGGCTTGCAGTTGTAGGGCATTACCATTGACTTCACTGGCTGAGTTTAACAGGCTGTGCCACCTATAAAACAAAACAGTGGGTTCAGTTGATAGTACAGTCACCACATCCCGTCCACCCTATAGCAGAACTACTGCTACAGGGCGTCAGGGCTGCACAAAATCACGTATATATACGAGATTTTGTATTTCCAGGTAGGGGGTGCATGCCGCCATTGCAGCCTCAGCTGTCAACCACCAGGTCCCTGATGATGATTCCCCGCCGGCACCTGGCGATTGCCGAGTATCACTGATGGGAGATGTAAACAATACAGATCTCTCCTCTGTCAGCTCCAGCACGCTGCTTTGTATTGCTCTGCATAGCGGCGTGCTTGCACAGTAAAGCACAGCACACAGTAAAACACACACAGCACACAGTTTACCCTTTGACTGTTAGTAAACAAAACAGTCCTCCTCCCCGTTGGTGATCATTCGGAAATCACCAGGCGCTGGAGAGTAATCACTAGGCGGGACACAGAGATCGACAGCCTCGGCTGCTAATGAGCGCGCATGCCCCCTACCCGGAAATGCAAAATTACGTATATATATATACATGTGATTTTGTGCACCCGTGTCGCCCTGTAACAGTATTTCTGCTATAGGGCGGTGGGGATACGGTTAAACGTAGCAGTGACATCATCATTGTGCTGTACATACCCTGTGCAGAGTGCTGAAGGAGGGGCCCAGAGCTTCTTCCACTACAGGCTGCCTGCAGAAAACTACTGGAGAGGGCGGAGACAAGACCAAGCCACCCTGCACAAGAAGAGAGAGCAGCAATGACTGGTCTTTATTACAGGAAGCTCCTGCACAGAGGAAAAAAGATTCACACTGGATTGCTGCACAGATCTTGAAAAAGTAAATGAAGCATACCAATGGGTTATTTACTAAAACTGAAAAGTGCATTAATCTAGTGCAACTCGGCATAGAAACCAATCAGTATGGTTTTATTACCAAAGCTTAAGCTGAAGTTAGATGCTGCTTGGCTACCTTGCACAGCTGCTAAAGATTCTGAGTGTACCGGTTTTAGTAATTTAAGGAAGAATACATAGGACTCTTGTGTTCAGACAATATTTAGTTTTTCCTGGAGTCCAGCGTTAACCTCTTTATTATAGAGTTACAAGTATGTGTTGCTGGGGTTATTATTTATTATAGGTACTTATATAGTGCCATCAATTTATACAGCACTTTACATATATATTGTACATTCACATCAGTCCCTAACCCTCAAGGGGCGTACAATCTAAGGTCCCTAACTCACATTCATACATACACATACTAGGACCAATTTAGATAGGATCCAGTTAACCTACCAGCATGTCTTTGGAGTGTGGAAGAAACCAGGGTACCCAGAGGAAACCCATGCAGGCACAGGGAGAACATGCAAACTCCTGGCAGGTGGTGCCATGGTTGGGATTTGAATCAACGACCCTAGTACTGCCAGGCAGAAGTGCTAACCATTTAGCCACGGTGCTGCTCTGGGGTGCCCTCAATCAGCAACCCCAGAACTGTGAATGAGTTATCACTGATAGCTCTTTTTCAACTACCAATGATCAGGAGGATGGGCTCTTGATTACATTATTACAGCACAGCCAATCAAAGTGAACAAATGAACAGTAGCCCCTCCTATTGGCCTTGACATCACACCCAACTTAAAATGCCGGCTCCTGCCGGTGGCAAGAAGTTAAAGGGTTAGTTCACCTTTATCAAAAAACTCCCTATGCAGATGAGGGATAATGGTAGATGAAAACAAACTGTGCAGCTCTGACTAAAGTTGAATAATTCCCTTTCTATAGGTGTAGGCCTTTTCCCCTATGAAGCCTCATGAAGCCTAGTGTCACTGCTCACCTCCACCATCACAGGAGTGAGCTTATTCTCTGGTTCAAGTCTCCTCACATGAACTTTCTCTCCTCTGATGCAGTAACTCTGAGCTCACAGTTTGATGATGGTGAATGTGAACAATAACGACTATGTATACCATGTGTGCTCTCATGCACAAAGTTGGCATTTCTGTATCTCCTTATGTCATGAAACCACCAAAAATTGATGCCCAAGGGTCTTGTGCTAGAATTATTGTTCTCACTCATGCGTGGCAATATGTAACTTGTATCGCTATAGACGTTTTCATTCGTAGGTGCCCCGACGAGTGCGGTTACGTTCGTACGTGCGTATATGTGGCGATGGGGTGGGGTGCTATGTGCTTGGGTGTAACTTTATTTGTATTTTTTTGCAATACAAAAATTTTTTTTTACCTAACGTTTTTTTCTTTATCACATAAGGTCTAAAGTCTAAAAGACCCTGCATGTCTCCTCTGGTCTCCACTAGATGTATTGCAATGCAGATCGCATTGTAATACATGTATACCCAGCTATTCTAGCCAGGGAAAGTGACAGCCGTGACCTGGAAGTAACATCATACAAGTCACTTTCTGGGTCACAGAAAGAAGTGGAGGAGAGCGCACGTTCAGCTGCTCTCCTCTTTCCCCTCCACCTGCCGGCACCTGCCATGGTGTTCCCAGGGCCCGCAGATGGGCAAGGGAGTCTGGATACATGGTGGAAGCATGGGCGCAGGGGCACCGGTACCAGAGCTGTGGAATCGATCGGGCAGCAGCTGACCAACTCCTTCCACCTGAGAGGCAGGTGTCTGCATATCATTATTAAACACAATCCCAGTAGCTTCAGCCATCGGATTGTGTATAAAACCCTTTGCTGTCAGGTCCATACGGCTTTTGGACCTGGCGGCGAAAAGGTTAAGGTATAACTAAAGAAGAAACCTTTGTTTATTTTGGATAGAGTGGAGAAGGATTGGAACCCCTGTCAGGTTTTTATTGTTGCCTGTACCCCGTTAGAGAGATTCACCCTCTCTGTTTGTTCTGTTTATCATTATTATTTAAAGTGAAATTAAAAGAAAATCCTACATTTGGGGTTGCCTTCAGAACAGAAACAGAGGGGAAAGTTTCCAATAGGGACAATGGTTCTGGTGACTTGGTGGGGCCCCATAGGATTCATTAAATCTGTAGATATTGCTTCTCACTTCCTGTTTAGGCTATGGGACAGGAAGTGAAACCTCTCCATTGGGACACAGATGGCAAACAATTAAAAAAAATAACCTACAGGGATTATAATCCTCCATTAAAGAAAGAAGTTTTGCCTATAGTTCTGCTTTAGAGCAAATAGACTGAACACTTTGCAAGTTGCTCCAGAGTTTAGTAAATGAGGTAAAGTTTCACTTTCACAAAAAATACCACATATCACATGCAAGGAAAAAAAATTTTTTGCTTGTTCATGATTGTATGAAATTGAAATCAGCAGAACTTCACCATGCTCTCAGTCTAAGTGCCTTTAGTAAATCTACCCCATTACATGTAGTAAAATCTATTGTCTTCTGTCATTTCGACAGATTTTCAGAGACCTTTTGTGAATATACAAAGCATATAAATAATTTGCTGCAAGAAAAAACTCTCAATCACTCCAAACATAATACAATGTACATGCATATCACAATGGTCTAATCCCTTGTTAGAACATGCACTGTATTGCCAAAAGTATTGGGACACCCCTCCAAATCATTGGATTCAGGTGTTTCAGTCACCTCCATGGCCACAGGTGTATAAAATCAAGCGAAACCGGATATGGTATGTACTCTCCAGCGCCTCCCAGCAAGGCTCCCATCATCCATCCATTACACATCTGCAACAGAGGCTGGTCAGTAGCTCTGAGGAAAGGGATTTGTCCCCGAAACACGTCAGCGATTTGACCGCACTGACAGTTGGAACACCTTGCTTGCCGTTGTGGCCATCGTCATTATGCAAATTCTTTTTAGATACATGCTTCATCTGTGAGTATGTTTTTATTTTTCACTCCTTTCAATAAACCTTGGATAATGCACTAGGTGTGTGCGCCACCTGTTTTTTCTCTCTCTGTATAAAATCAAGCACCTAGGCATGCAGACATCTTCTACAAACATTTGTGAAAGAATGGGTTACTCTCAGGAGATCAGTGAATTCAAGCGTGGTACCGTGATAGGTTGCCACCTGTGCAGTAAGTCCATCCGTGAGATTTCCTTGCTACTAAATATTCCACAGTCAGCTGTTAGTGGTATTATAACAAAGTGGAAAAGAACTGGGAACAACAGCAACTCAGCCATGAAGTGGTAGGCTAGATAAAATGACAGAGCGGGGTCAGCGCAATGCTGAAGCTCACAGTGCGCAGAAGTCGCCAACTGTCTACAAAATCAATAGCTAAAGTCCTCCAAACTTTCAGATTAGCATATCAACAGTGCGTAGAGAGTTTCATGGAATGGGTTTCCATGGCCGAGCAGCTGCATCCAAGCTTTACATCACCCAAGTACAATGCAAAGCATCGGATGCAATGGTGTAAAGCACGCCGCCACTGGACTCTAGAGCAGTGGAGACGTTCTCTGGAGTGACAAATCACGCTTCTCTGTCTGGCAATCCGATGGATTTGTCTGGGTTTGGCGGTTGCCAGACTACATTGTGCCAAGTGTCAAGTTTTGTGGAGGGGGGATTATGGTGTGGGGTTGTTTTTCAGGGGCTGGGCTTGGCCTTTTAGTTTCAGTGAAGGAAAGTCTTAAGACGTCAGCATACCAAGACATTTTGGACAATTTCATGCTCCCAATTTTGTGGGAACAGTTTGGGGATGGCCCCTTCCTGTTCCAACATGACTGCGCACCAGTGCATAAAGTAAGGTCCATAAAGATATGGATGAGCTTGGGGTGTAGAAGAACTTGACAGGCCTGAACAGAGTCCTGACCTCAACTCGATAGAACACCTTTGGGATGAATCAGAGTGGAGACTGTGAGCCAGGCCTTCTTGTCCAACATCAGTGTCTGACCTCACAAATGCACTCTGGAAAAATGGTCAAACATTCCCATAGACACACTCCTAAACATTGTGGACGGCCTTCCCAGAAGAGTTGAAGCTGTTATAGTTGCAAAGGGTGGGTCAACTCAATATTGAACCCTACGGACTAAGATGGGGATGCCATTAAAGTTCATGTGCGTGTAAAGGCAGGCGTCCCAATACTTTTGGCAATATAATGTAGATGTTATATGTAGTGGGTATAGTTTAATTTTTAGCAATTATTTTTTACACAGATATCTTCCACTGACATCATTGATCTTTATAGCTATCTATAAGTAACCATAAGTGTAAGGAACATTCTTCCCACTGATCATCACACTAATGTATCATGAGTTATAGATATAGTAATTTAGTAGGGGTTCCCTGAGACTGAAAAGTTATTTCAAGGGTTCCTCTGTGTTGAAAAGGTTGAGAAAGAATGCTTGAAAGTGTAAAGACAACTTTCTCATTTTGGTTAGATTAATGGAGGGTTAGTACCCCTGTAAGTTTTTTTTTTTTGCCGTGTCCCACTGGGGAGATTGCCAAAACAGGACTTGAGAGGAAATCTCATCAAATCAAATTAAGGGACACCCCCCCCCCCAGGTCACCAGAACGAGTGTCCCCACTGGAACATTTCCCCTGTATTACTTTTCTGGGAACAGCCCAAAATTTGGGATTTTCTATTAATTTAATTTTCAATGATAATGGTAAACAGGACAAATAGAGAGGATGAACCTCTCTAATGGGGACAGACAGCAATAAAAACCTAATAGGTATTCTAATACCCTCACTATCCAAAACTAAAAACAAAGTTTTTCCTTTAGTTATAAAGTGGAACTTTACTGCATTTGAGCACCACAAACCAAAAATGCTATTTACCCCAATGCTGCCCAGCCACTGTAGAAATAAGGTGGCAGGGCGCACGGCTGGGCAAAAGCATGTTTTAAAACATGTGTTTTTAAAACAGGTAGGGGGCGCGCGTAAGGCGCGCCGCCGCCCTACCTGTCCCGCCGATCACAGCCGCGGATGTCAGTCGCCGGGTCACAGCCGGTCGTTACCGGCTATGTCCCGGCTATCGGCGGCAATCGCTGACAGAGAGTACAGCTGCAGTAGCTGTGCTTTCTGTCAGTTCCCTGACAGCTCCAGGACACGCTGATCGGGATAGAAGAGTTTCTCTCTCCGGATCAGCGGTGTTCCCTGCAGTACACACCCCCGCCCCCTAGTAAACACTCCCCTCACACAGTTAACCCTTTCCCTAAATAATAAACTTAACCCCTTCCTCCCCAGTGCCATTAGTACAGTGTCAGTGTTTTTTTTTTTTGCACTGATTACTGTATTGGTGTCACTGGGGATGTCAGTGACCCCAAGTCAGTACCCCCCAATGTCAGAATGTCCGCTGCAGTCCCGCCATAAGTCGCTGATCGCCACCATAAGTCCCTGATCGCCGCCATAATTCGCTGATTGCCGCCATTATTAGTATAAAAAAAACCTAAAAATCCCAGTATCTTTCCCGCCATTTGTAAACGCTATAACTTTCACGTAAACCAATTAATTTACACGTATTGGGTTTTTCTTTTAGCAAAGACATGTTGCAGAATGCATTTTGGCAGAAATTTATGACTAAATTTGATTTTTTTATTTTTTTTTTACTGGACATGTTTTATAGCAAAAAGTCCAAAATATTGTTTTTTTTCCTCAAAATTGTCAGGCTTTTTTTTTATAGCGCAAAAAATAAAAACCGTACAGGCGATCAAATACCACCGAAAGAAAGCTCAATTTGGGGGAAAAAAAAGGATGTAAATTTCATTTATGTACCGTATTGCATGACCGCGCAATTGTCCATTAAACTAGTGCAGTGCTGTATAGCAAAAAAATGGCGTAAATTGCAGTATCTATACCATAGTTTGTAGACGCTATAACTTCCACACAAAGCAATCAATATACACTTATTGGGATTTTTTTTACCAAAAACATGTAGCAGAATACATTTTGGCATAATTTATAAGCAACTTTGAGTTTACTATATATTTTTTATAGCTGAAAGTAAAAAATATAGTTTTTCTTCAAAAGTTTTGGCCTTTTTTTGTTTATAGCGTGAAAAAAAAAAAGCGCACAGGTGATCAAATACCACCGAAAGAAAGCTCTGTTTGTGTGAAAAAAGGACGTAAGTTTCGTTTGGGTGCAGCATTGCATGACTGTGCAATTATCAGTTGAATTAGTGCAGCGCTGAGTAGCAAAAAGAGGCCTGGTTATTAAGGGGGGTAAATCCTCTGGAGGGCAAGTGGTTAATTAATTGTTAATATTCAAAACAAACTCACTCATCCATCCATCCATGTCTCCATGCTTTTATATTGCTGAGAAATCAGTTTGAAAAACATCTCCTGGTATTTCTGGCAGTAGTCATCTTGAGTAAGGGCAGATGATTCATTTAGCATTTTAAGGGCCAGTTTACACCACAAAAACGCACTCCGGATGCATTCCAGATACGATTTTGCTCACAGTTTACACCACACTCTGTCCCAGTGCAGTTTCGATGCAATTTGCTATGTTCCAGTGTAGTTTTGTGCAGAAAAAATGCAGCATGTTCTACTTTTTTGCAAACTAGCCCTAAAACAAGTAAATATGATATACTTTCCTATCTATTTACTTGAAAACTCATTTATTCAGGGAAGCCTAACCCATCTCCACCTAAATACTATACTTGAGTCATCTCCATCAGATCATCCCCTGCAGCTATTACCTTTTGTACCACCCCTCCCTTTATATCAGTGGTTCTCAACCTTCCTAATGCCGCGACCCTTTAATACAGTTCCTCATGTTGTGGTGACCCCCAACCATAAAATTATTTACCCAGTAATTATAATTCATGAGTGTCGTTTTACCTCCAATACTGCTGCTTTCAACACAGTAGCTGCTTTTAACAGAGTAGCCGCTTTCAACACAGCAGCTACTTTCTACACAGTAGCTGCTCTTTACACATCGGAAATATGTTTTTTTTAATGGTCTTAGGCGACCCCTGTGAAAGGGTCGTTCGACCCCCAAAGGGTCGCGACCCACAGGTTGAGAACCACTGCTTTAGATTGTAAGCTTCATGAGCAGGGCCCTCCTATTCCTTCTGTATTGATGTGTGTTGTAATTGTACTGCCCCCCATTTATATTGTAAAGCACTGAGTAAGATGTTGGCACTATATAAATTCTGTATAATAATATTGTTAGCAGCATAAGGATTAAAAATAGTCCATGTTGATTGAGAGAGCAAAATTCCACTTTAACCACTAGCCTACCGGGCAATTTTACCCCTTCCTGCCAAGGCCAATTTTCAGCTGTCAGCGCTGTCGCACATTGAATGAAAAATTGTGCGGTCATGCAACACTGTACCCAAACAAAATTTTTAGCATTTTTTTTGAGACCAATAGAGCTTTCTTTTGGAGGTATTTAATCACCACGTGGTTTTTTATTTTTTGCTAAACAAACTAAAAAAGACTGAAAATTTCTGGGAAAAATGTTTTTCTGTTTCTGGTATAACATTTTGTAAATAAGTAATTTTTCTCCTTCACTGATGTGCGCTAATGAGGCTTTGATCGGCATCACTGATGGGCACTGAAAGGCAGCATGCATAAATGGCACTGATAGGCAGCACTGACTGGCACTGATTAGAACTGTTAGGCAGCACTGATGGGCATTGATAGTTGATAGGTTGCACTGATGAACACTGATAGGCGGCACTGATAGGCAGCACTGACTGGCACTGAAAGGCAGCTCTGATGGGCACTGCTATGTGGCATTGATGGGAACTGACAGGTGGCACTGATGGGGCTACACTGATGATCAGGGCACTGATGATCAGTGTAGATGTCCCCTCTGAGGAATGCTATTACCGGCTCTCCTCTTCTCATGTGCTGTCAACACAGCTGATCATATGATAGAGCCGATCTCATCGGTTCTTTGCTGGGATCGGTGATCCGCTGTCCCAGGGACATGGCGCACTACCGATCGCTGCGCACCCCTGGGGACATGCATGAGCAGCTGGAGTGGGAGGACGTCATATGATGTCCTCCCAGAACTGCAGCCCTCCCGTCATTCCTTATATGGAGGGCGGGAGGCGGTTAAAGTGACACTAAAGCTTCTTTTAAAAAAGAAATAATAAACATGTCTATACTTACCTGCTCTGTGCAGTGATTTTGCACAGAGCATCCCTGATCCTCTTCTTTTTGGGTCCCGGTTCCTCCCCCTCAAGCAGTGCCCCAAGGGAAAGCTGCACGCTCAGGGGGTACTTCTTCATGCTCATCCCTGAGCCACTGCTCTATGCATCCATAAGATGCATAGAGCCATGGCTTGGCCCCCCTCATTGGCTCACTGGCTGTGATTGACAGCAGTGGGAACCAATGGGCTTCTGGGGGACTCACTACAAATGCATGTCACACACTTTTCTAAGATTTATTTGTAAAAACTTTTTAAAACCATTTATCATTTTCCTTCCACCTCACAATTATTTGACACTTTGTGTTTGGTCCATCATATAAAATACATTTATGTTTTT